TTTGTTAAAAATGTTCAATGTAGCTGGGTAGTGGCACACGGCTTTAATCCCAGCACTCAGGAGGCCAAGGCAGAGGCAGAGGCAGAAACAGGTAGATCTCTACAGGTTTGAGGCCAACCTGGTCTACAGAGTGAGTTCTAGGACAAGCTCCAAAACATACACAAAGAAACCCTGTCTTTGGGAGCCAGAGAGAGGACTCTGGTTAAGAGCACTGGCTGCTCTTGCAGAGATCCTGAGTTCAATTCCCAGCAACCCCATGGTCACAACCATCTATAGTGGGATCTGATGCCCTCTCCTCCACATAAAGGTGTACATGCAGGTAGGACATTCATATTCATAAATCTAAAAAGGAAAAAAAAAACCCTGCCTCAAAAAAAAATTCAGTGCTTCTTAGAGGATGGTTGTGTCAACTGCCTTAAAATACTTTTGATACTCTGACTTTACTTTCCGAACCCAAATCAAAATAACACCACAAACTTTTGATGAAAATGGTAACAGCTGGGTCATCTCGGGTCAGTAACTATCTCTTAGTCTTTTCCAGTGCACATTGTCACTATCTTCTCTAGTTTGTGTGTTGAATAATTTTGGATTATAGCCAGCCACTAGCTCTTGTAGACCAGGCTGGTCTCGAACTCACAGAGGTCCGCCTGCCTCTGCCTCTTGAGTGCTGGATTAAAGGCATGCGCCACCACCGCCCAGCTGTGGGTTTGTTTTTTAAGTAGGAAATTAGTCCAGTTTGGTTGAAGCCTGGCGTCCCCACTTGTCCTCTGTAAGCAGCTATTCCCACTTAGCCAGCTCAGTGCCCACAGCCTTTGCCAATGCTCTTCAGTGCCTCCCTAAGGATGCCCACCCAGGGCTGGGCTGCTCCACTCCTCAGTCAGCAGCTTAGCTGTGAACTGACCTGCTTGCTCCCTGTGCCGCTAAGGGCAGCGCTCAGGGCTTCAGCACACTCGAAGGGCCTCCATCCACTCCCAAGCTCTGCCTTCTCAGTGTCCTGCCCCAGGGCTCCTTTCCCACTTCCTCTCCACCTGACATCTGTCCCCCACTGCTACACACAGAGACTGTGTGGCTGCTGCCACCACTCAGCTTTGGGATCTGAGTTTGCCTTGTGGAAAAGACAAAATAGCAAGACAGACAGACACACACACACACACACACAGGGAGAGAGAGAGAAACAACTAGGGCATTTTCTGTCTCAGATGAGACCCTTCCCCAGCTTTGCATCAGAAAGAGTTTCTTTTAGAGCCCTCTCTCTTAACTAATCTTCTGCACAGGAAATAGGAAAGGAAAAGTAACAATAACCACCCCAAATTCAAGTTTTTGTTTTCCCTCAGTTGATTTCAAGGAGTCTTACTCCTTAAGTCTTCCGTGTGGTGCTCAGCAGTGGTCAATGGAATTTGGGGTGCTATTCTAGCTCACCCAGAGCCAGGCGTCTTCCTTGGTTGGTTTCATTTGTGTTTGGGGGGTTTGCTTTGAGACAGGTCTCCCTGTATGGACTAGGCTATGCTGGAACTAATGACCATCCCACAGGAGGTTATGGCACATGCTACCACACCCTTCTTCCCCAAACTTTAATGCAGGCATCTCTGTAACAGATTTGAAGTCTACCGTCTGTCTGGAGTGCTAGCTGGATTTTTTTCTTTAATATTCAAATTCTGAAGCAAGGGTTCCCTGTACTGGTGTTAGTTTTTCTAGTCAAATTTTCTTAGGTTTATTCTTTCTCTAGTTGGAGCAAGCTCCTGAACTTATAAGTGATCATAAATAATTACTTTAGTAGCAATAATTACTGGAGCGTGCCTGGGCTCAGCTGCCTCCTTGTGGGTGTGTGACTTTAATCCCGAATGCCTGAGCCCTGTGTATTTCCTCATCTGTAAAATGGGAATAAGAATTCTATTCAAGGCCTGCGAGGGTGAGATAACTCTGACTACAGAGTGAGTGAACAGTTCCTGGCACAATGGCACTTGCTCTGGTGGGAATGGCTAATACTCATTCAGCACCTGGAAGTGCTGAGAGCCACAAGCTAAGCCTGCTTATCTCCTTGTTCAAGAGGCTGCTGAGACCTCTAGGAGCAAAGGGCTGCCTCGCCTTGGTTGGCTTGCCAGGCCTGCATGGGGGAGGTGTGGGAGGCCAGCTGGGGTCAGGGGGAAATCTTGCTGATAAGTAGATGAAAGCATGGCTCACAGCATCCCTTAGGGAGATGTGACTCTGGGGGATGAATGGAGAAAATCAGGCTGCAGAGAAGAGCAGCAGAAATAGAAGGGGAAGCCTGGTAATTGAATGGTTTACAATATGAAAGAACAGTATTTCTCTGCCAGCAGAACCACCATCTCCCCTGGCAGCAAGCTGCCAGTCCAGCTGTGAGCACTTCAGCTGTTCCCATCATCCCTGCTGAGCCTAGAGTTTGCTTTCTCCTCTCCTGGGAGTCAGAGGAGCCCAAGACTGCCTGGCATCCACACATGCTGACTATCAGTGTCATCTGCTGTGCTCGCTGATACGAGGGAGCCCTTCCCCTTCCTGGGACTTGGCTTCCTTGCCAGGTCGACAGACACAGCCCCAGATACACTGCAGATTGCCAGTGTCAACGCCAGGCATCCCCCTGCTCCCTTTTCTGTGTGTTTTGACGGTTTTGTGTGCTTTGGTTTTGCTGGGATTTTTGTTGTTGTTGTTTCTGAGACAAGACTCTTTTGTAGTCTAGAATGACTTCAGATACAATCCTCCAGTACATTTTTGTTTCTTTGACCATGTTAGGGATGGAGGCCAGGAATTGCACATCCTCCAGATGAAATATTTGCATTATGATTCATAACACTAGCAAAGTTACAGTTATGATGTAGCAACGAAGATAATTTTATGATTGGAGGTCATCACAGTGTGAGGAATTGTATTAAAGCTCACAGCATTAGGAAGGTTGAGAACCACTATTGTGAACTATGTGGTGATCCTTAGACCCTCACATCTCTCTGTCACCAGATGCCCCCCAGTCCCTGCCTCTGTAACAGCTTTCTCTGGAAGCAGAGGATGGACAGTCTGGCCCAGGGATGTCCCCAGGCCCTATGCATTAGGTATTAAAGACATGGATTACAGAATCCTGCTGTACCTCATAGCTGGAGCTCATCTTCAACCACTGAGCACTCTGGAGTCTTCAACCACTGAGCACTCTAGAGTAGATGCCTTGGACTTGTTCCCAAAATAATTAAGGCATAGTCCCTGACCTTGGGGAGGACTGTAGGGGTAAGGTCCTGGAGGCTGGGTGGGTGGAGGGTATCAGTTAGGGTGCCCCAGGCCCTCCTTACATTCATAGGCTCTCTGTACAGCAGTGAGGGGGTACCAGGAGGAGAGGGGGAGGGTGGCCAGCTGGGGCTGTGGGTGAGCACCCCCACAGCCTGCAGGTGGCACCTGGGCAGTTCTATTCTCAGAAGCCACTGACATTGCCAGGCAATGATGTGGCTTCCGTGGGAGTGGGAGTGGGTGTAGGGGCTGACAAATAGCTGTAACGCTGAGGGTGCTCTGGCCAGGCCTGAGCTGGCAAAAAGCCTCTTTCCCTCTTACCTGAAATTCTATAGCCCCATGGAGGCCGAGAGCAAGGGGCTATGACTTCCTCAGCTGTGGATAGTGCACAGAGCTATGGGTCTCACTGGACCTCTGCTATAGCATCCTACCCTTAGAGCTGGAGATACCTAAATCTGAGGGATGAGCCACTAGGTACCAGGTTCAGAAGCATCTTAGGACATTGCAAAGCCCCTGAGTCATCCCTCAGCCTCAGCGGAAGTGGAAAAGCAAGTCTAGCTGGAATGGAGGTATACACAGCCACCATGCACAGGGATGGAGAGGTGGCTGTGGTAAGAGCTGTGCTCACCAAAGGCCGCTGAGGCCAGTCTCTGGCGCTGGACTACTGCAGTGACCAGGGCTTCAGATGCCTGCTGCACCTGCCATACTGGACAAGCATCCTGTGGACCTGTAGCACAAACCGTCTGTGAGCAGATGAGTCTTCCCACCTGTCTGTGCTTTGGCACATGTGACAAGCAGAGTAGGAGGGAGGAGAGGCCTGCCTGGAATGCTGCCAGCACCACAGCAGTGACAGATCCCTGTCCTGCATGCTGTGTCGGTGTTCTCGGTATGCTTTCAAACCAACACCTGCAGCACAACCAGAGGGAATTCCAGAAAGAGCTTGTCCTTGTTTTTTAAACCCTTTCCCGAGGAAGATAGACACAAACACTGGCTCTGTATCATGTAGGGTACCAGCAACAAACCAAAGACAACTTAGGGAACCACTGAGCTCATAGGGCTTACCTATGAAGCATGGGTAACCCCAGAGCAGCATCACCAAAAAGTGTCATCCTACCACGGATGATGGTTTCCAAAGATGCTGATGACTGGGGGGGAAGTTGCCTAATGAGGTGCATGAGTGTGGGGGTGTGTTCAGTGACCATATGTAACCATATGTAACTAGCTAGCTACCACCGTCAACATCAGTCAAGTGTCAAGCAAGTAGAAGGCACACAGTGATCAATTGTTTAACGAATGAGTAAATGAGTGAATGAATGAATGAATGAATGAATGAATGAATGAATGTTTTGGAAGGCTGCTACTAAGGTACAAGCTAATTTGGGGGGAAAATGTCAAGAAGCTGAACCTCATAGGCTGGGGACTTAGCTCCAGGAGGACTCAGTTCTAAGCCAGCTTGGGCTATCTAGCCAGACCCTGTCTATAAAATAGACAGTGACCCTGGTAGCAGTGTTGTCCTTCCCTGTGCTGTCTTTGGAGTGGGGTTTGGAGAAACCTCTGGGACCACACCCTACATGGATGAGGCCCTCTTTACTTTTTGTTACTGAGTCTTAGCCAACAGGAATAACATGATCCCAGGTGAAAAGACTAAGTTGGTACCACTGGTGTCCTTTTAACTTGCAAGACCAGCCCCCTCCATTCCACCTTCTGCCCCAGTGCCCTTGGCCTTGGGGCGTCCAGGGGGCTTTCACACCTGTCCTCTTTCCTCCCCAAAGGTGGAAAAACTTGTGAAGTGTTTGGATCCCAATGACCTGGGCAGAATCAACTTCAAGGATTTTTGCCGAGGAGTGTTCGCCATGAAAGGTGAGGTCCTTTTGGTGTCCTGTCTGGGTAGGAGACCAGCACACAGGGTGGGTCCCAGAAATGGCCTCTGTTCCTAGGGACCTATGGGGGCTGAGGGGAAAAGGTCTTGGGCATGGGTAGTGCATGGAGCTGTGGCTCTCTCTCTGAACCTCTGCCACAGGCCCCACTACCAGGGGCAGGACAGCCTTCCTGCCCTCCTCATATCTGCCCCCTCTGGGAAACTGCTCTTCCCATCTTTTCTCCTCTTGCCACCTCTCTCTTGCTAGGATGGCTATGCTCTGGAGGATTTCCCTGGACTTCCCACTTTAGCTCTGTGGGGAGGGGGTTGGCATTTGCTCTGTCAGTGGTGGATAACTTGTCTAACTAGTGCAAAGCTCTGGGCTCTGTTGCCAGCAATGGGAGGTGAAAAAAAAATAATAATCAAATGAATTCAGTTCTGGCCACAGCTGGACGGAGCTGGCTACCATGTCTCTTAGGGCCACTTATTTACTAACTGCCCTCTCTCCTCTTAGACCTTCCTAATTCCTTCCTCCACCCATTCCCCCCCCCCTGCAAAAAAAAATTCCAAGGTCAGTTTTGAGAAAGTCGAGGAGCAGAAGTAAAAGGAAACCAGAAGTTTGCTGGGGGAGCTGAGGCAGTGCAGAAACCCCTACTAAGTTTCTCCAAAGAGATTTGTTTGATTCCCTGGGCTGGCTCAGACCACTGCTGCCCTGTGCCTATGCTGAGCCCCGGTCCAGTATAACAATCAGAGAACCACCTATGTGATGGGTCAGCAGGGTATAGGAGCCTGCTGACCTCCCAGGGGTGGCCCTATCTAGAGTTTGTGGGTATCCCCCATTCACATATGGAAGTACTTCCAAGCCTGGGCACTTCCCTGTGTCCCCATGGGGTTAGCCCCATGGAAGAAGTTCTCATCAAGTGCCTTTCTGACACCTTGTATAGTGCCCTGAGCCAGCCCCATACAGCTGGGCATTTCCCCCGATTCCTACCATTGTGTTAGAGACGTGGGCCACTTCCTTCCTCCAGCAGATCCCTCCAAGGCCCATTAGAACAGCCGTGTGGGCTGAGGCCCATACCACTCACTGTCTGTGTGTCTGTCCACAGGGTGCGAGGAGCTGCTGAAGGACGTGCTGTCAGTGGAGAGCGCGGGGACCCTGCCATGTTCTCCAGAGATCCCAGACTGTGTGGAGCAGGTAAGGACTGTGGCCCAGTGCCTCCTGCACTTGGCTGTCCTTGCTATTTGCACCCAGGCCTGACTTGGCATCTGGAAGGACTGGGACTTCCTCCAATGGCCTTCAGGCATCAAAGTCACAAAAACACCACCTTAGGAGAGCTAGGTAAGGTGGCACATGCCTCTAATCCCTAATCCTACCCCTCGGGAGACTAAGGCAGGGAGATTGCCACAGGTTTGAAGCCAGCCTGAGACACATAGCAACACTGCTCAAAATAAAACAAAAAAGAAGAAAAAAAAATCACTCCGGAACAGGCACAGTGAAGTCCTCAGGGAGCCATGATGGGACAGGAACTGGGGCCACATAGCATCTTCCTCCGCCTCACTGGTGGTGCTGAAGAGAAACCAAGTCCCTGGAGAGAACTATGGACTGGAGGTCAGGTGGGCAGGGCAGGGATTCTCTTCCTGTTCTCTCGATCCTCTTCGTCTGTGGGTACACACACACAGAGACACAATAAGTATGTCATTAAAACTTTAAATTTTTAAAATTAGTTTTCCTATAATCCAGTCTCAAGCCCCCTCTTCCATCTAGAGGTGGGAAGTTTGAGGGGCTGAAAAGCCCCAAGTGTGGTCCTTCTCTGACCAGCCTCAGGCTGTGGCATCTAGAAGTACCTACCACCCTGAGTCATAAACTGAGTGTGGGCAACCGGAAGTGGTTAGACATAAACGGCACTCCTATCAGGAAGTACCAAGGGCCCCAGCAGCTCTGTACCTCTCGATTTCTGCTGCTGATAAACACCATGACCAAAAACAAGTTATGGAGATCACAGTCCCTCGTGGGGGAAGCGCCAAGCGGTTGCTCAAGTAGGAATGCAGAGGCAGGCAGTGAAGCTGAGGCTGGTGTACGGCTGTGCTTTCTGCTTCTGTTAAGCTAGCTCCCTCATATGATTTGGCCCCACCTGCCCTGAGCTGGACCCTCCATACTTCAATCTGATGGAGGCAAATCTTCAGTTGAGGAGGTCCCTTCTTCCCAGGTGTGTACAGCTGACAACCGAGAACAGCCATCACAGAGCAAGCACCACACTTTTTCTCATTGTATCTTGTGTTTCATATATCCTTGTCTTTAGTTAACCTCCATCCTCCTCTCCCCACTCTCTCTGCTGCCCCTTACCCATGTAAACCCTTCTGTCCCTAGTGCCCCCACTTTTTACTTTCATATTAGGTATGTTCCATTATTTCTCTGCCCCTTTCTCTCAAAGCCTCTGTTGTCCCCTCCTGTAGGCTCCTTTCTAGTTTCCTGGCTTCTGTATACATTTGCTCCCACATAAATATACACTGTGTGTGTGTGTGCTTAAGATTGAACACGCATATATATATATATATATATATATATATAATCTTTTGATTCATTCTGCTGCTATTACCAAATGATGTGTTTATAAAACATTGAACTATTTTTGCAAACACAGCTTTGTACTGCAGAGATGGTTTTAAATGCACTATCTACAGTCTCCAGGGAACTTCTGGCTAGAGCAGGATTATTTTGGTTTCTCACCCAAGTCAGCTCCAAAACTTCTGTGGCTCTGGGTAGTACTTCATCCAAGGGTCACTTCCCCCTGGAAAATAGAAGAAGCCTAGGACCAGATTAGTTCATTGGATACTTCTGGGTGGTGGAGTCCAAGTGAGCTCTTGAGGGCAGGACTTGGGGAGAGGAGAGGGGTCCCATAATGTTGAAGGTGGCCAAGCAGAGGGTTGGAGAAGGCCAAGGCACTGACAAGAGACAAAACTAATCTAAGGATAGTGATGGTCTGGGCTGGCCTATAGCCTGGTGGTAATTGTTTGCCTAGATTATCATGATTGATCCTGTCAGCTTGGTCATACTGAGAAGCACCTAGGTTGGGGAGGGCCATTTCAGGGTGTTAGGGGAGGATATTTCCAGAGATGGTTAACTAAAAGGAGATCTGCCCTGGATATATGGCCTATACCATCCCATTGGCTGCAATAAAAGGACAAGAAGGGGGCCGTAGAGATGGCTCAGCGGTTAAGAACACTGACGGCTCTTCCAGAGAAAATGGGTTCAGTTCCCAGCACCCACATGGCAGCTCACAGCTGTCTGTAACTCCAGGATCTAACACCTTTACACAAAACATACATAAAGTCAAAACACAGATAAAATTAAAATAAATAAAATTTTAAAAATAAAACTAAAAGGACAAGAAAAGGGGAAAGCTGATAGACCAGCCCACCACCACCACCATACACACACCTTTCCCCACCCCTGCTTCCTGGTCACCATGAGTTTGCAGCCTCTGCCACTCATTCCTGCTAGCATGTTGCTCTTTCTAAGCTCAGGCTCCAAGCAGTGATACCAGTGGAACTCTAAAACCATGAAGTCCTCCCTCCTCCCTTTCTCCCTCCTCTTTCCCTCCTCCCTCCCTTCCTTTCTTCCAGTTTTCTTAGGCCTCTGTCACCAAGATAGCAGGGTCTAGGGCAGGAACAGAACAGTGGGTTTTGTAAGGTGGGAACTGTTATGGGTCTGGGGTTGTTCAGAGATTCACCAATCTGACCATGAATGAATTTTAATAAATAAGAGGCTTTACTAAATACTGGCCAGGACCATGGATACTGGCCAGGTCCATACCTGAGATTCATGCTTAGAGTGTGGCCCTGAATTATGTCAGTCAGGAGCTATAAAGGTAAAACCCATGAGGCTACATACATCCTGCCTTTGTCCAATCAGGGGCAAGCATGCATCCAGACATACTTCCTGCCTATGTACCTCCCTCCTATGTGTGATCAAGCACACATCCTGTGCAGTTGGGGTGACCAAGCTTGCTTACAGAAGTGAAAACACACAGCTTTGTTACCTTACAGGAACAGCACCAGCATTCCAGGAAGTAGTTATCTGTCCCTGGGCAAGTGGGGCTTACAGGTTTAGAGGCATTTTCATTTTATAGATCTCTTAAGTGAAGTAATTAAAACTTAAAGCATAGAGTCAGCCATCACAGGAACAAGGAAACTGAATAATAGAGACAAAGCTGATTGGCCAGCATCAAACTGCTGTTTTCAGGGGATTAAAGGAGGGGATTTCCTTATTGTGCCAGCTAAAGCTCTCCTGGTTTCTGGGAAGGCCACCTAGCAGCTTAGTTTCAGTCTTGGTGGCACAAAACAACATCCCAAAACAGACTCTTTTGGTCCAGTCTGCTTAGTGCAGAATCCTGGTCACATACACCAAGGGATACCTGTAATTTTTATTTAACAGTTTGAGGTGACAGAGACTAAAGCCTGTGTGGGGTCAGGGTCGGAGTCACGTGTCCAGACTGTGCTTAACATGAGGCCCCTTAGAGATGGGCCAGGATATCTGGGTCTCGTGTGCATTGCCAATGCTGAGGGCTCCAGACCTGCCATACTGGTACCAGTGGGACCATATCTGGGACAAAGAACCCCCAACATGGGACAGACACTAAGTGGTGCAGGAGTCTTTTGGGGTCTGGCCTTTGTGGAGGGTGCAGAGTGAGTAGGCCTTACCATCATTTAAAACGGGGTCCATCCCTCACTTGTGGCCACTGGCCAGCCATGCAACCTCAGCAAGTTCCCCTCACTATCTCAGAACCTCGGTTTCCTTGGCTATAAAGCAAGACTTCTCAACAAGTCTAGTTCTGACTCAACCCCGCCCCACCCCCCAAGCTGCTTCTTCCCTTTTACCCTTGGGTTCCAATGTTTCAAAAGCAACTTAAAATGGAGTGTGTGCTGAGACATAGGAACACAGAGATGCACTGAGGCCGGGGTTACCCAGGAGTATGCAGGGACAGGGACATGCTCACATGGCTCCAGCTGCTTTTGTGGTATCCATGCTGTCCCAACCACTACCAGAAAGGATGGTGCATTTACCAAAGAGGAGAAATGGGGTTGGAGGACCTGACCCCCCCCAAGAAGGAATTTTTTTTAATAAAATAATATTTTGTTGTTGTTGTTTTCCAAAGTCTAGGGGTTCCAGGGAAGCAGAAAGGTGGGGGATCAGTCATCAGAGCAACCCTGACTCTTTCCCATGGGACTGTAGAATGTGGGTGTGTTGGTGACTTCGGGTTTTAAGCCTCTTCCAGGCAAATCTTTCTGTCCTCCACACAGCTCTGGGCCTAACAAGTGGCTCAGCTGGCCCAAGCACCCAGTTGAGTTAGTTAGTGTATGGGTAGACATAGTAGGTGACCTGGTTTGTTCAGCTTTAGCCAGACAGCTTGATGGACTTGGGCCACCTCCTTTCTGTGAGTTCCTGAGTGTCACAAAACCAGCCAGGCAGAGTGAATCCACAGGCTTCACTAAAATTCTGGCTCCTGGAACAGACAGGCAAAACCATAGATCTTTATAGGCAAGATCTTCAAAGAGGGCCAGTTAGAAGCAGAGCACCTTGCTGTGCTCCAGCTGTCCCCTAGGGGTCAGCCTGAGACCATGATCAAGAAGCCAAACAGCTTCTGGTTCCTCTGGGTTTCCAGTGTGTCCCTGCAGAATACAGATCTGAGCAGTGTGTCTTGGGGAGGTAGAGGATGGTATGTGGCTTGATGTCAGGACTACAGCTGAGCTAACCATACCGTTAGGGTGTGGGCATCACGGCTTGGTGGGAATCACTTTGAGTCAGTAAAATGCTTTCCTGTTGGCTATAGGGTAGGCCTGCCATCTGGGCACCACCCTGGGTCTTTGACCTAGGAAAGTCCATTCTGGATGTTTCTCTAAGAATTGCTGTATAGTACCAGAGTCCAACTGTGGAGGATGCCAGTGTCCTCAGAGTCTGTCACACTTGTCAGGGCAAGTGTCATTGAGTGCCGCCAAACATGCTATTGAGTGTGTTTCTCAATTCAGGATGCCCAGAGATCCAGGGATGGTGTCTCTGGGACAAGTCCCTTCTGAGCCCAGTCTGCTCCAAGTGTCTCCCTTTTATGTAGCCCTCAGTCTGTATGATGAGGAGACATGGGTCCACAGGTATCAATGCTGGCCAGGGGCTATAGTCACCCCTTGGCAGTCAGTGAA